CCGAAGTGCACTAGATGAAGGTACAGGCGAAAAGGGGACGTGAATTGAAAAAAGCGCACTTACCTTGATGACGAAGGATCTCTGAATCCTTTACAACGAAAGGATTTAGATGGACGTCTGAATTTAGTTTCACCTTATTCCCGTGTTCCACAGACAAGCTAGTAACAATTGGAGCGACACCTCCGTGAACTATCTGGAAAAATTTCGTGGCGGAAAATCCCATACGAAATCCGTGCTTAAGTGTCGGAAATGGCACTACGGAGCAGTGGCTCATCCCGTTTTCTCTGTAGTATATATACTTTAGACCAGAGTTTCACCATCTAGTCCTGGAAGCAATTGATGGTCTAAAGGTGTATGCGGCCCCGAAATGACCGTCAGATCCAGTTGAAGCTGCCGAGGAGACCAGGTACGGTTACTCAGTTTCATGCTATCTGTCGACTTGCATGGTTGGCTCGTGGGTGCTTTCATATAGTACTGAATATGTTGTGATGGCTGGCTCGGCAGGTGTACCAAAGGGGAGCGCCAAGTACACCACCCAAAAAAATAGAGGGGTAGTGTAATGCTTTGTTTATGTGATCACCTGACGTTTGACGCCCACTGTAGAATTCGTCCGGCTCTTTTACACGTGAGCTGGCCTTCGAGCCATGCTCAGGCCAATTTGTCCTGTCGTCTTCAAAATACATGTAACCAACTGCACTTACTGACTTCTTACACTGGCCAGGAGGTCTCGGGAGGCTACATATATTTTAAAGAGAACGAAGCGGTTAGGTCTGAGCATGGTCCGAAGATCAACCCAGACAACAAATGCCAGGCAACTCTTATATTGACCACCACACGCCAGATTGCCACATAAACAAAGCATCTAAGGTACAGTAGTAATTAGGCGTGTTCCGTAAAAAGCGAGGTTCGGCGCCGATAATAAAAGTCATGAGATAGAAACTGCTCCTTTTATGCCATAGTCACTTTAGCAAAGTCTTGCATCACTAGTCGATGTTGAAAGAATGGGAGGTCCCAAAGACAATGTCTCCCAAATAGAAATTGTATAATATGATGCGGGGAAAGTCGGCAGTTTTTTTTGCGCTTTGTCGTTGAAACCAATGTTGAGACTTACGATCTGCTGTCACAGGCACATTTTCTCCTTCCCCGTGCTCCACAGCTTTATCAGTGAACACTAAAGCAATTTACATTTATCAGATTTGATTGCATTAGAAAAATTCAAAGTCTATAAACAGAACGACATTAAGGAAACAATTTTTGAGGTCCCAGATTACAGTGCACATGTTCCTTGATCACGGTGCTAAAATCGAAATTCCACCTAATACCTAGCAAGGAAACACCAAAATCTACCATTAACTCCACCAGCATGTTTGCCTTTTCATCCCTATGCTATACAACGTGAGCTATTAATTACAGTCGATAGTATTTCTTTTTGTTTGGATACCATGTTCAGCTTCTGAAGCCAAACATCTTATTTATTTTCACTTTTATAGAAATCGGAGCCTATGTGCCATA